AGTGGCCAAAACAAAATCTGGAATCAGTCCGTGAAGTCTTTGACAGTTGGTGTGAGTCACGTAGGAAGGTGTAGACTGCCTGGTTGGGATTCTCAGGATGCTAAGAACCAATAGCTGAAGATTATCGGTGACTATGGCTCAAAATCGTTCCCAGTTGCATGGATGCATTCACTTTTCGTAATCTCCTATATCCACTAAACTCTGATGTTTCTCCATGTTACCATTCTCTTCCCTTCACATTCCTGCTTATTATTGAACTTTTGAATTTCTTTTCTCTAGTTTTTCATACGACTTGAACTGCTAAAGTTCTACGTTGAAACCAAGTAGATTTTTTTTTAAATGAGAATGAAATGGGGTTGTTACGTTAAGAGTCGAAATTCTGGACTTGGAAATATCCTATGAGAAAATCACGATTAAATTACTCATTGAGCGCAAGCAAACGCTCTGATTTCCTCTCTTGGTACTAAATAAAATGCCATTTATTTGATCAGCCTAACTTCGGTAACAAGAAACTCTGTGAAAAATTACCAAGGAATTCAGCCATATAGCTAAGGAATAATGACGATATTCTATATTGCAATTTCTTTGATATTAGAAGACTGTTGGTAAGTAATAATAAGCCTAGATTATTTGCTTGTTTGCAATAATTACCACAGTCGTAATGGATAAATGAGGACTCTTCCCTCTATAACTGGATGTCATCATAAGATATTATAACATCCACCCGACCGATAGCTGCTACCTTGACGTGGTGGTCGGGCTTGAACACTGCAATGACCCAACAAGCTATACTGGCTGGAACTTATGTTCCTGCAGGTCCTACCATGCCAGAAAGGTTGTTTGGATAGCAGTTAGACTAAAAGCAGTTACCCAATCCAATCCTATGATTTCAAATAAATCACAAAATATCATGCCGGATCGGTCGGGGCCCGGATTAACAACGACCGCGCTTTCTGCTGCCGTGTCACAGGGCAGAAGTGATAAATACGCTACTGAGACACACCAAATAAAAAAGAACAAACAAAAACAGGCCGTGTGTGACCGGCCTCAAGCAGTTGTCCCCTGGGCTCTGCGGTCACGCAACCAACTTCCACGGTGTGGGCAGCCGGGAAGTAACAATCGCCCTCACAATCCGAAGTGCACGCGAAACCCCTCTAATCCTCGCTCATCTTTGTCTTCATCTTCATCTCTATTATCTTACCTTCCTTCTACTAATGCAACTCCTCTACTTGTTGGCTCTTCACTTCCCCTTCACTCTGTGTGCACTGATAACGATGGAAGCCAAAAAGCCACCACTGATGGTCTCCTAAAGCCACGCCACCAATTTTATATAGGAGCATTTAATGTTAGGACACTTTGCCAAATAGGACAACAAGCATCACTAGCCAAGACTCTGGCATCCCGAGCCATTGATGTATGTTGTGTTTCAGAAACACGCATACAAGACCCAAGTGTGGTTATTCACCTAACCCCACCTGGCCAACAGGATGAATCTGCAAAATTCACCTTGAGGGTGTCAGGAGATGCGACGGCTAGCTCACGAGGATTAGCTGGTGTTGGGATAGCTTTAAGTACTAGAGCAGAAAAGACATTACTTGACTGGATCCCGGTAGATAGCCGAATGTGTGCTGTCCGTCTGAACGGATCAGTGAAAAGGAGAAAGGACTGCACTACTCGCCGATGCCTTTTCGTAATCTCCGCCTACGCCCCCACTGACTGCAGTTCGGATGAAACGAAGGATGAGTTCTACCAAAAGCTGTCCAGTTTGCTGCGAAAGGCTAGACGCTCAGATATAGTCGTTTTAGCTGGTGACTTTAATGCTCAAGTAGGGAAATTGTGTCAATCTGAGAAGAATGTTGGTGGCACATACGGAATTCCGTGCCAGCGAACCGATAACGGTGACCGTCTCCTACAGTTCTGTTCAGATAATCATTTGTATCTTGTAAGCACTAACTTCAAACACAAGGAGAGACACTGTTTGACCTGGCGACCACCATCATCAAATCAACGCTGGACACAAATAGACCACATAGCAATAAGCTATCGTTGGCGTGGGTCGGTAGGGGATTGTCGCTCCTTCTGGAACACGTGTGTAGATACCGATCACGCACTGGTCCGCGCTCGTGTGTGCTTACGACTGAACGGACGTAGGAAACAGCTGGCGGTAAACCCACCACGTCCCCAGCTCGACCAGGGAACTAAGTCCCTATTTGAGGAAGAACTAGCTAAACACATATCTGAGTTTGACAGCTGCGCTCACCCTGAAGAAGCCTGGAAGAATATTCAGTCAGCCATAGATACAGCTGTAAAAGCTGTGAATAAGGTAAATCCAAAGGTGAGTAAAAACCATTGGATTTCGACTGCCTCATCCGAACTGATAGATGCTAGAAGACTTATTCCGGCGAGCTCCGAATTCAATGAGGAGCGAAAGCTGCACAAGAGGAAACTTACGAAAAGTCTCCGCAAGGACCGTGAACAGTGGTGGTTGACAAAGGCGAAAGAGATGGAAAAAGCATCGGCGATAGGCAACACCAGACAACTATTCAGGCTTATCAGGGAAACAGGTGGTAAAAAACAAATGATAAGCGAAACAATCTCCGAGAAAAATGGCACCATAATTAGCTCCCAGGATAGACGTCTGGAGCGCTGGAAAGAACACTATGAGGAGCAGTTTAATTGGCCCACAGCCACACTTAACCTACCGGACATCCAGCACCTCCCTGAATGGGAGATAGACACAGGTCCTCCGTCCTTAACCGAGGTTACTAAAGCTGTCACCAATCTGAAGCTAGGCAAAGCAGCGGGACCTGATTTATTGACTCCAGAGGTATTTAAGTACGGAGGAGACAGTTTACTGTCTGCGTTAACGGAGGTTCTAGGCAGCGTCTGGGAATCAGAGGAAGTCCCATCGGGTTGGTGTGAGTCACTGATCATCCCGATATACAAGAAGGGGGACAAGTCGTCTTGTGATAATCACAGAGGGATTAGCTTGACTAATATAGTATCTAAAATCCTAGGCTCAATAATACTGCGTAGATTAAGTGGTGCTCGGGAGACACAAACACGAGAAAACCAGGCAGGTTTTAGGCCAGGTAGAGGGTGTATTGATCACATCTTCACCCTTCGACAGATTCTAGAACATAGGCATTCCTACCGGCGTCCGACAATCATTATATTTCTTGACCTAAAGGCGGCATTCGATTCCGTCGACCGGGAGGTTCTCTGGCGATGCTTGGCTGTAAAGGGAATGCCAAGAAAATACATTGCACTGATTAAGGCACTCTACTCGTACTCATGCAGCCAGGTGAGGGCTTATGGCGAGTTGTCATCTGAAGTGGTGATGACTAGTGGCGTCCGTCAAGGATGCCCATTATCCCCATTCCTATTCAATTTCATCATAGATGTACTAATGGACTTAACCCTAACTCACTTCAGCGACTCAGGGATTGACTTGCTACCAGGGAAGAATCTCGTTGACTTAGAATACGCGGACGATATAGTCCTTCTAGGCGAGGACTCTGACAAAATGCAGAGTCTACTGAACACCCTGAGCAACAACCTCCGCATGTTTGGCATGCGATTCGCCCCTATAAAATGTAAGATGATGCTGCAGGATTGGACTTCATCGACCCCTAGATTAGAAATAGGAAGTGAAGTGGTAGAACACGTTGACCGCTTCACTTACTTGGGAAGTACCATCAGCCCCAACGGGTTGATCTCCGACGAAATTTCAGCACGAATACAGAGGGCTAGGTTCGCATTCGCCAGTTTTCGCCGTCTCTGGCGTAGACGCGATATCCGACTATCGACCAAAGGGCGTGTGTACTGCTCAACAGTCCGCTCCGTCCTCCTTTATGGCTGTGAGACCTGGCCATTGAGAGCAGAAGACATGAAAAAATTAGCTGTCTTCGATCATAGGTGTCTGCGTTCTATCTCCCGCGTGAAGTGGAATAATAAGGTGAGCAATATTGAGGTTAGGCGTCGAGTGCTAGGTAAGGCGGGGAAATCAATCGACGAGACTGTGAAATTGCATCGACTGAGATGGTTAGGACATGTGCTACGTATGCCTAGTCATCGCCTTCCTCGACGGGCAATGTTAGCTGATATAGGGTCAGGCTGGAAAAGAGCTAGCGGCAGTCAAACCAAAACATGGCACCAATCAATGAAATCCACAACAGTTAATCTAAGCCACGTAGGAAGATGTAGACTTCCTGGTTGGGGCCCTCGGGATGGTAAAAACCAATGGTTGGAAACAATTGGCGACATGGCTCAAAATCGTTCTCAGTGGCGCAGATGCATCCACTCCTTGTGACTTATCATTTCCAGTTAAACTGTTTTGTTCTCCGTTATTACTATTCCTTTGTCTCACACCTCTGTTTACTGTCTATATTTTGCATTTCTTCTACTTCCTCCTCTTGCTTTGCGTGCTACATGGATTGTGGCGACTTGAACTGCCGCACATATGTGCAAAGTTCTATGTCGAAAACAGACAGACAGACAGAGATAACATCCACCAAGGTTGATCATAAAATCGGAACAAAAACTATATCACTCATACTAATAAAACCCTCAGAGTGCATAGTTGAGAGCATCTGTTTTGACTAAAGATGTGAATTTCCCATCAAAATCAAATAAGAGATTACTCCAGATGTTGAGAAATAGCGGGTAAATTCCGCTTACAATTCTACAATCAGGAGAATTGGGTTATCTTGTTAGTTTTATAGTGGAACTACAACTGGGGAATTATGTCCAGATTGGGGTTTTTCCGGTGGATACAACTAAAAACCAGTGAGTGATAGCATTTGGATTGAAAGAAGGCAATACGGGTAAAGATCTAGTCGGTCAGGTAATTGGTGTAACTGAAACTACAATATGTAATCCGGCCTCAAGTTAACACTGCATCCACTACATGAGTTTCCCCTTCATCTGCCCATATTCTTTTGAATTATGACGAATCAAACAAGCACTTCCATTTACTCTGAGTAAGAAAGAACACAAAATGTTATCCTTATAATGTTGTGTGGTTTTTTTCTTTTCAGTATGACGTCTACATGCAAAAAATGATTTAAGAAATATCTAATTTAGAGAATAAATCAAGAAAATCGATATACCTTAATTCTCCCGAGGTATAAGTCAAAAATACATGAAGAAAATATTGGGTTAGTACAACTATAGAAGTACTTTAATAAAGATGAATACTGACGGATTCACACACCTACCGAATGGTTCTATCAGGACAATGAAGACTTATTAGCACACAGAAGTTTGAATTATCGATTGGAAAGTGATAACAGAACTTTATGCAGTTAAGAGAAGGTGAGGGATAATAAATCGACTAAGGTGTAAGAAAAAAGACTGATGAAACGTGTAAGAAGAATTAAGTTTAATGTATATTTCTCTGTCGCTCACATAATACAGCACAATAAACCTTTTACGAAAACACACTCTTTAATCATCAAATTGAGTAATACTTGGCACCATAACTATTGGTTTGGTTTCTGCATCTTCTAACTTGACAACACGAAGTGTATTCGTTGAACCTGAACCAGCCTTCCAACCAGTTACAATGATCACATAACATCCTGGAGTGAAATATGAACGCTTACGACCGTAGTCAATGGCAAAACGAATTCTACGATCCATATCTTCATCCCATTCTTTAGTTCGTGCTTCTGTAAATTATGCAAAGGAAAAGCATATGAGATAAGTGTTACTAGTATACTTTCATTTGTTGGGATTAGTGAAGATTACGGTAAAAATAGCACAACAAACAATCGCTTACCGCCATAGTATAAGGGATGGACACCACGATAAAGATGAGCCTGACGAGCAATGACTTCATGACGCGTAACAGCAAGGATTGGACAACGAGGTCGATGACGTGAAATCAAGTGGCAAGACCTAGTATGTAAGAGAGAAGATTATTACAGAATACATATACAAATTGCAACAATTAATGCCACGGAGACCTTTGAAATTATCAAATAAACAACCAGTTGACTATCTTCAGTTGATAGTCAACTCTGATTAGGATGAGTCTTAAGACGGGGCAGAACTGTAGCTTTCAATGCAAAACACCTAGATACGCTACTGAAGAAATTTTTCAATGGAATCAAACCGATATGCAACGTAAAATGGCTTGTGGCAACAAAAGTATAGTGCGATTAATCTTGAAAGTTGGCAGCCTAGATGATACTACTTAGTCTCAAACTAACATGGGCGACAGAGCAATCATCAGTGTTGCAATACCTGATCACAAACATATAACTACTACATTGGTCGATTGAAAATAAGGTGACCTAGAAGAATACTGAATATTTATCTAAGTAAAATCTAGATACTGTATTGTATCTTATATTATTCTAATATATGTACAACTAAATAATAGTCAGTCACTTTGATTTTCTTACACGCGTTCGAATTGCAACTTGTTTAAATATTATTAAACTACTAAATTTCCATCCAACATTAGGTTTATTGAATTTCAGGTTATTCTACCCACTTCAATTATGTCATGAAATCAAACATAGTAGGGTTTTCGCATGTTTCACGTGAAAAAAATCGCCCATGAGGACATTACATCGATCTTTTTATTTACTTGAAAACTGTTCAGTGTAAACGAAAGAATTGTATGTAGAAAAAAGCTATCGTTATAATCATCACTAAATGAAGAAAAGACAGACAACAACTTACCGCCCAGAAGTGGTAATCACAATTATAGCAGCTGCATTGCACCGATTAGAAGCTTCTACAGCAGCAATAGCTGTAGTGTGAGCCATCTCTGTGGGACCACACAAAGAGTTTTTCAGATCTTCAAACAACTGCCCATGGAACATTGCTGCTTCAGCTTGTACGCAAATACGATGCATAGTTTGTACAGTTTCTAGGGGATACAATCCTTTTGCTGTTTCACCTAGATTATTAAAAGGAAAAAAGGTGTTACACATGCGATGATAAATGGTAAAAAGTAACAATCAAAAGTTTCTTTCTAATAATTACACCATATACGATTACTGATGGTAGACAAAAATAAGCGTAAGGAATGCAGTTGTTATTCTTTTTATGGTATTTAATACTGGAATCCAAGACGTGACAGTCGTCCGTCATACTCAATGAATAAACTAGCATTTCAATGTGCAGGATTCCCTATAAAGATTCAAAATCCCAACCCGATCAATTCCACTGAGACACCTGATCACTAGCATTGTAATTTCAAACGACAGTTTATCGTTATCAAATGTCCACATCAATCTACTTCTGTTTGTATAAGAACATCTTTTACGTACAAAACGTTGGTCAATACAGTTGCAGTAGGTTAAAAATAGGAATCTTAAAAACTAACAACAAATAATTAACAGTTGCATTCTCACAATTGAATCAAATACACAGCCCTTTACATTAAAATGACATACATATCAATAAGATTACTTATTTTAACAAACCTGAAAGCATAACACAGTCAGCACCATCAAGTACAGCGTTAGCTACATCGGATGATTCAGCTCGAGTTGGTCGAGGTTTAGTGGTCATTGATTCCAACATTTGTGTAGCGCATATTACAGGCTTACCAACCTGATTACAACGACCAATCATCATCTTTTGTGCTAAGAAGACTTTTTCTGCTGGAATTTCTATTCCAAGATCACCACGAGCCACCATAATCCCATCAACAACTTCAAGGATTTCATTGAATCTGAAACGACAGCAGGGATAATAAGCCGTTGTGAAGCAAACCAAAGAAATTAAGGTGATGAAGAAGGAACAATAAACACAGGAAGGTCCCACTAATTATAAAGAAACTTTATCTGTGGCGTGAAGAACGACTAAACAAATTATGACTAGTCTTTCGAAGTATATGTTCGATTATTTAGTGGCAGAGATCATGAAGATCACTTTGGTAACTACTTGCTTTTTTGCAGGTCTGATGAGATTTAAATTTCTGTCGATTTCATTCTTCTTGACTCTTTGTATCCTTGATTCAATGTCTTACTCGTGTCACCGGAACTTGAAATGGATAGCCTTTTAAAATATCTAGAATAAGCAATGTGCTTTTAAAATCTACGTTTTAGCTGTGTCAGGATAGTATTTTTTCAAAAATCAAAATAATAATGATAGGTCCTCAGAATAATTTTTAAAACTAACCTTTGAACACCTTCATGGTTTTCAATTTTCGCAATTATTTTGATGTAAGCACCTTTTTCACCAAGGAGACTGCGAATTTCATGTACTGCAGCTGCGTTTCTAATGAAGGAAGCAAACACCATATCAACCTAAGATTTAGAAAAATAGAAAAGAACAATGTTTTAAATCAATTAGAAGTGGTAAATCGAAGCCTCAGTTAACGGATGGCTAATGTATGTCAATTCAAGGAAGACGATGGTCTAGGTATGCACTGCGTGTTCCATTCATCTCAATTTTCACGACTAATTAACTCATTTCACCCAGTACTCTACGCCTAACTTCTACAGTAATCGCGTGGAGGTCCTGCCAAATGGTGGTAATACCATCAAGGCGACGAGGGTCAGATGTCTGAAGATCCTTGTGGGTCCTCTACCCTAAGTGACCGCATTTCATTTATAAAGTGAGATACAATGAATTGCTGAGAAATACATTCGAGACGCTTAATGAGCGATAGGACAACTTGCTTGCACAGTCGACAACGTAGTTTGAATATAGTCAAGCAAGCTTCTCATGTGTGTAAGTCATGATTTCATCACCGCCAAACCATCTAAAGTGAAACGGTTGGCTTGTTCGATCACTTGATTCTGTTAAGTTACTGTATCTATTTAAATCAATAATGAAGTGGCACTTTACACTTAGTAGGTGAGAAACATATTCCAAGATAAAAAATTTGGTACAATTGGTATTTATGTGCCTTTTTACGTAGCAGTGATAACTGATGGTATACAATGGTAAAAACTGCCAAACGTTTTACTCGCGTTGCTTCAAAAGTATTCTGAGAAACGGTACTACAGAATGGTCAAGCCTCAAATTATGTAGCTATTGAGGCAAGAAATTGGAAAAAGTTTATATTACGCTTCAGGATACGACACGAATGCAAACTAATTAAATTTGACGGGAAACTTACGTTATGCTCAACTGCAAAACGAAGATCTTGTTTGTCTTTTTCTGAAACTGCAGGCAGGTCTACTCGGGCTCCTGGAAGATTAACTCCCTTACGAGAGCCAAGCTTTCCACCGTTTTCGACTTCACATTCGAGAAAATTGGGACCTAGTATCAAAATTAAAGGTATCAGAAGTAATTAGTAAAGTATATGAAATAGGTTATTTCCTATGTTAATTTCTGAGGTGGTGCTACTAAGGGTGATTTTATTTATTCTGAGAAAGTATTGGAGACGTAAAACAATACTTCACGTCAGGTTGCTTCGAGCTTCTAATAGTTCTCACATATGGCTTTTAGGAACAGCAGCGAACAAAAGTTTCCATACATAATCCCAACTGTCTTACAACCGATTACTGATAAGAGAACATGAATAATTCCTACTTTTTCAACGCAAATTGTGACGAATCACAGTAAAACTTCGAGTTATCTCAAGTATGGTGAACGACTAGAACATTTCACTTTCACATGGATGTTTTCGAAGCCTTTTTTGAATCTTAGTGATACTGCGCGACTATTCTAATATGTGTACAGTGGGCCCAAACCCACGAACTTCGGGATTCCAGCTAGTCATTAAGATTATTGACATTCCCTCAGATTAAAAAAACGTACACTTGACAGAGAATGTGTGAATACTGTATATGGTTGAGACCATAATCTACATTGATTCGTATTAAGAGGAAAGTTACAGTTGCTCGTGCAACTTGTTAGTGTCTCTCAGAAAGCATCAAATGTAAGCTTTGAAATATCGACTAAATAATGCTATCTATTACTGGTTATTGCAAATTAATGTGTTAAATTACTGCACACATGAGGATAGCTCAATCAGTAGTGGTGCAGCAGTGACTCAAGTCATAAAAAAACAGTAACTAGGAAATCTTTCGCTTTGTTGATTATAAGTCGTATCACTAATAGAAAATGAAATCAATGTTTTGTAATTACTAGAAAAGTAGTTTTGACAGTTACACTATACTGATTGAACGCTTACCTTTATTTTTGACCACTAAACTGATCAAACCATCGTCAACGTAGATTTTCGAGCCTTCTGATAAGACATGAACAATATTAGGATAATCCACGTAAAGAGTGGATGCATTACATGCTTCCATGTAAGCAGGATCAGTAGTCACACGAATTTTATGCCCAACTTCAAGACTAACTTCTGCAGTTCCACTCTGTGAAACAAAATATACACACATGATATTAGTTTAGGAGTCGACAGTTATTATCTGATGCAATCACTTCATACGATAGGTCATAAAATAAATTGTGATTATATTTATTAGGGTTACGCAAAACTATATTTCAATTTTAGCAAGCAAATATATAAACATACACCTGCCAAACGTATGCAAATAAATCATTGAAAAGTAACTCTTACCCCATTTATAAGTCCAGTACGTATTTCAGGGCCTTTTGTATCCAAAGCAATACCGACTGGTCTTGACATCGGCTTTAAAGTCGAGGCAGCTTCACGAACCAGCTTTATGGTCTCTGCATGATACTCATGGCTACCGTGAGAAAAGTTTAATCGGGCAATGTTCATTCCTGCGTTGATCATATTTTGAAGTATTTCGACAGTACGACAAGCGGGACCTATTTAAAAATACATATAAAAGTTATTTACTTCCGACAATGTGATAGCCTACTATGAAGTCATCATTTTTAGGCTTTTGTTGCTCAAAATGCACTATTGAATTTCGATAGCTAGATTTGCAGTTACTACTGCGCAACCAACGAAGCCTTAACTCAATCCTCTACCTGCTTCAGGCATTTCCTCAAACAACGGTTTCTCTCCAAATTAATTTCAATGCATAATATAATTGACCAGTACGGTATAGTAAGTAACAGGTGTGCCAGTTCGATTCATTTGTTAATACACTGGAGTACACTTTTTACAGTAGTATATACTTAACACAGCTGAAGAATTGTTTTGAGACATGGTCTGTGTACACATATATCTTGGACTACTTCGTGGACCACGAGAACATTGACAAGTTGTGCATTAATGCAAACTTCTGTTTAGACTCGACTTTTGTTGTTATACGGGCGCAGTCCTGAGAAATGCTCACACTGAAGCTATTGGGCATCTACCTCCACACAGACCAATGTTTAGCAGGATATAACAGGAGACAGTCTGCTGAACAGGTGTCAAGTTAACGGTAACGTCACATCAGGAAAATCCTTTTTATGGGTTTTCAGCCAGCAAATGTTTGGAGCTAGGGTTTTTCAAACCTTTGTGGGTAGAACGCGATACATGCAAATGGGCTCGGTAAATCAGGAATTCATAGACAATACGGAATCATGGCTACTAGCTGAACACCATTATCGAAATACAAAGGACAAGACATCGATGTCATCGCAGTATATTGCAGTCTCTATAACTCAGCTAACTTTCTCAGCGAGAAATACAACAGCGAACTGAAGCTCATGTGGAAATGGCCTGGGTATACGAGGAAACGGGACAGGTTGTTTTGATGCCGACTAAAACATTGTATTTCAATCCTTAAGCAAATCAGACACTGAAATATCATTTGGACGTGATATTCACCGCAGCCTTCTCAAGGGGTTGGTAGCTCACATAGCCGGTCCATTAACTAATAACTTCACTACATCCCTCTAACATGGTATTATCGCGTGGTTGGAAAAGTGCAGTGGTAACCCCCATCCAAGAAGGAAAATGTAAGCGATATTCCTGCAAATACAGGCGTTTTAATTACACCAGCACCTGGACCAAGGTACTGTTAGGAGAGATTAAGAAGGCCCTTATAGCGTGTTTGGGAAACAACCTGTTATTCAGTCCACGCCGAAGCTTTCACATAAACGCCTTGTCTTACAAACTGGGTGCATTTCGAGGACCAAAAAATCCCAGAGATGTAAGATTTTAGCAAAGCTTTCGACTAAGTGCCTCAAGTGAAACTGGCGATTTCGGGAAGTGCCGGCCTACTTAACTGGAATTGGGAATTCCTTGTACTCGGCTCTTTTCTACTATTTGTGTACCGACGGATTATCTGGGCTTGCTGGATATTTTATAATTCTCTACGCAGGTGAAACTTCGAACTCAAGGATGACTGCGGTATGCCTACGTTTTAGAGAGATCTCAACAAACAATTGGATTGGTTCAAGGAATAGGTACTTTCAATCGACGTACTCAACTGTACAACAGTCCGCATCATGCACGCAAGAATTGATTAGATAAGCACATATTTCTGTTAACACAACGATATATACTAGCTTGAAGCCTTTTGTACTCAACTTAGTACTGAGACCAAACGTCGGAGAAACTCCAGCAAGTGGATATATACTGTTAGTTCCATGAACCATTCTTCATGTATCAGAACAAGACTCCACTCCCACTAAGTTGATGGAAATAGTACGTATGTTACAAATGACTACAAATGATCTGGTTTGATGCTACAGATCTTCCTGGTGTGAGCTAGGGCTGTAACTAAGTCCTCACTTATATCCGTTATTAAGGAAGGAGCCAATAATATGGGTGGGTGATGAGAATTCGAAGTTGACAAAAAAAGTTACTTTCAGTATATACGGTGGGGTGGATTACACAATAGAATGTGTGGGTGCCGCATGTAAAATGTAGGTTAATAGTTTTGGAAATGCTAATCGACTACATTACTTAATCTGACAGTACTTACCGATTGTACATATTATACCAGTGTTCCGAATGTATGCAGGTTGATGATCGATATCCAAACTAACTATGTGCTCCAATAGTGAACGTGGATATGAACATATTGGAGCATTTGGATTATATGGAGACGCTTCCCCAAATCTTGAAACGGAATTAACACTGGGAAAAGAGTGACCGGAGAGATTTCTAAGAGATGAAATAGTTAAGATAAATGTGTGGATATAACATACAATCCTGAACCCAACATCACGTAGACAGAGACAGAAATTCAAGTGGGCTCGCAAACAGGAAGAGCCTATAAGTATTCTGTGCAAATTTAAAACAATGTTCAACACTCAATATTCAATATCATGCAATTACTTGACCTGTTCGCATCTGGCAAGCCAATGGCTTTGAATCCCAAGTTTGTATTGAGATATCTAATTTTAGCTGGCGTCTCTGATTTAAGGGTACCGAATCTAAGAACAATGTCAACAACTAGACTTTTCCAAATTCTTCTTAAGGCGAAATCGCAAGTTACGCGTTTTTAAATACAAAAGATGAAGCTCGTTGAAACATTCGCCCTCATTCCACACCGATTAATGTCTGTACCATTAAGGAGGGGTGAAGGCTTACAGTCTAAGTATCTTTCGTACCAACGTATCAAGTTTCCTAGATTGATTTGATGTATACTTCGGCGTTATTCTCTGTAAGTGTCTTCATTATAGGAATTTATAGCAAACGAAATCCTACAGACTAAAGATCACATAAACAAGATTTTTGTGCACTATGGCTTCTTTGCTATGTGAAGGTCCAACATATAGGGATTCCGCCTAATTAAGAAGAACGTCTAATTGAGGTAGTTTCTTTTTACCATATCCAACAGTTCACCTTTAGGCTACAACCCTTAGATAAAAGGCTTTTAAGCTTTGTGGCGATGCGTTCTTTCTTCAAAGAAATCCTTTAGACTTATAATGGGTTTGTCTCGGTAGAATAGTGTTTCTTTCAAAGGACATGAAACAATCTGTTATTCATTTGTAATGATATACAGTATGTGTAGGCTTTTTCAATCCAAAAATGTTATTGAAGTATGTGGATAAGACGATCTTGCTTTTTCAAGCTTTCTTGCATTTTCTCCACACTAGAATACTAAGAACCGAGTATGCATCAGAAACATTAACAAATGTAGGGAGAAAATGACTTATCGGAATTGTTTGCCTGAACAAGAAGATGAAAGGCACTTAAATCTGACTATTTTTTGCAAGGCAAGACACTAGGAGGTATCTATTCTCCAAGTCTTTCTGCCAAAGTCATTGCAGTGTTTCCGTTTTCTTCTCCCTCTTAAAAAAGATGCAATACTTTAGTGAGTGATAATACAACTAAAAACTGTATAAGTCTGTGGATTAAAAATCTGTCCAGAAGACCTAGTTAAATGGATGTTTGCATTAAAGGCTACCCTTAAGACATATCACAATTATTGGCCACTACAGTTATCATGAACCTCACTTAGTTAGCTAGCTCGCTAGTTTACTAGCTGGTCACAAGCCCGGGTAAAGAGGGAGGGTTGGGCGTGGGACTAGCAACCTCACACCACTAAATCCCTTAAATCGCCGGAAAAACTTCAACGCACAGAAAATATGTTTTAAACACAAAAATTTCAAATACACAATCTTATTCTTCGCTCCAATCAGGGAAGCGAATTGATGTGGGCTGGTGAAAGCCTTCGGCAAGCGAGTCAGCCAGCCAGTTTGGCTTCTCTCGATGAAAGCAAGAATAGGAATGGGGACATAAAAAGTTCGTACAATGTGCGAGGCTGGGAAGGCTGACCAAGTAGCCAAAGAAATACGAAGATATGGTATAGAAGTTCTGGGTGTCTGTGAGAGCAGATGGAATGGATGTGGACTGTCAAAATTGTCAACTGGAGAGTCATTAATCTACTCCAACCTGGTCATCCAGACGACAACCTCGAACACACTGAGGCAGTGAGTGGCTATCATGATATCACCAGCGGTAACCAAAGCCAAATAGATTTCATATTAATTTCAAGGAGGTGGAGACACAACCTACTAGGTACAAAGTCGATAAGGGGAACGGATGTGGGCTTAGACCATCATCTCGTTCAAGGAACCTTCAAAGTGAAGCTGTTACCCTTCAGAGTAACTGGAGACAGAGCACAATTCGAGTTCGCCATTCAGAAACTGAAAGAAAAAACACAGTGGATGCCTCCACCACAGATCAGATCAGATCAAAGTCGGACACACTACGTGGCATCATTGTGGAAACCTGTGTGGAAGAACGTTGAAACTCTCACGAGCCGAAGAGATAAGACAAGGAATGGCTCTCAGCGGATACCTGGAAACTAATAGAAGAGAGGAGAGGAAGATGGTGAAAGAGAAGATGGCTCAATGGAAAGATAGACAACAGAAGGAGAAACTAAGTTCAATGTACACTGCACTGAATAAAAAAGTGAAGAGCGCCAGGAACGACAGAAGACAATTCTACGACACACTGGCTGGCAACTGAAGCAGAACAGGCAGGCTTCAGATAAAAGAGACCTCAGGACAATATATATCAGATAACTAAGTATCTATCCGGGAAGAGATCAACCCATATAGTGAAACCAATGAAAGATGTTCAAGGGAACATGATCATCAAGGGGGGTGGGAACTAATCAAACAATGGGCTGATCACTTTAAACGAATCTTGAATCGACTACCACCGGCAACTTGCCTAGAAATACCACCAACAGCACACATGGGAATGCCAGTGGACACCAATCCTCCAACGAAAGAAGAAATCGTGAGTCTGATCAAGCTACTGAAGTCCGGGAAGGCGGCGGGACCAGACTGCATTCCTCCTGAAGCACTGAAAACGGACCCAGCGATTACAGCAGATGTTCTCACTTCATTAGTGCAAAATGTTTCGAAGGAAGGAAAGGTGCCTACTGAGTGGAAGAAGGGCTACCTCGTCAAACTGCCAGAGAAGGGCAACTCAGGCCTGTGCAAGAATTGGCGTGGAATCATGCTCTTTTCCGTGCCAAGTAAAATAGTAAGTCACATCATCCTGGACAGAATAAAGATGTACTGGATACAGAACTCCACCACATAGGGAGCTGGATTCGGGGAAGGCGAATCATATACTGATCAAATTGCAACTCTACGCATCCCCATCACTGAACAAAGCATAGAATGGTAGTCAAACGTGAACCTCAACTTCATCGACTTCGAGCAGACCTTCGACAGCGTAGACCGAGGAGTAATTTAGCAGCTGCTTCAACACTATGGCGTGCAGTGCACAAGTCTTCATCAGCCTCATTCAATAGCTGGCAATATGACAATGCCACCTGTCAGGTGACCCACGAAGGAAAACTCAGAGAGGCTTTCGAAGTGAATACAGGCGTAAGACAAAACTGCCTGCCTGTTATCATCGATGATGTTCTCAACTGTGGTGGACTGGATTATGCGTCAGACTGTGCGTTGGGAGCAAGGAGACAGGAATATGCTGGACCACCGATAAGAAGACTCCAGAAGATCTAGATTTCGCAGATGATATTTGTCTAATGTCACACAAACTCGAAGACTTGCAGGCAGGCGAAAGCCAATAAACTGGCTGAAGAGTCGAGGCAAGCAGCGAAGACAGGACTGCAGGCGAAAATAGAGAAGACGGAGGCGACCAAGATAACCAACGAACCGCAACAACAACAACCGGCACCAATCACCATAAACGGGAGAGATTTAATATATGTTACTTCCTTCCCTTATCTAGGAAGCACGGTTTCAACTACAGGCAGAATGGATGAAGATGTTAAAGCCAGCCAGCCAGCTAGAATTGGAAAGGCAAGTTACACCTTCATCAACCTGAAACCATTATGGAAATCTTCTGCACTCAGTTAGTATAGAGAACAAGATTCGGGTTTCAAACACCAATGTGAAGTCAGTCAGTTCTTCAATATGGGTCAGAAACTAGTACTGCTGCGGAGTACGTAACAATATAACTGCACACTCTTTTGTTAGATGTTGAAATTAGAGACATTGTGCATGACTTTTGTTTCATACGATTCACGTTGAAGTATAGATAACTTCCGAGTACAATCTAAAGTGGAGTGTACTGTTGGTCGCTTCGCCTTCGCACTGGTCTACACTGTCTACCTGCTTCACTCATAATTGTGTTGTATACTTTGGATTTTTGCAGGAACCTCTTATCCTCATCCGAAGACAATTCTACAGCCGGTACACAGCTTCTACCAGTAGACATGACTCAAACAGTGAACGCTTCTGTGGTTACATTAATAATTTGTAGCCGTGGACTTTAACTGTATATCCAAGCGGCCGTTTAATTAATATAGCTCATGACAGCATTTTTGATAATATATCGTTATACTATCATCTCATTGACTTTTATTTTTATTCACATACTTTTTATGTTATTGAGCTCGCTGGACAGTCCTCTAAACTACGCATCACGAAAAGGATTTCCAACAGTTTGAAGACTTTCATCAACAGCTGCCTTTGCTTGACCCATACTGAAGGACAAATGGCCAGAAAGGATAAGCAACTAGAAACTATGGGAACAAACCAATCAAATATGTAGGAGAAAGTGGAGATTGATTGGGCGCACATTGAGGAGGAGGCCGCCGAATGACATCGCACGCCAGGCCCTCGAATGGAATGCAAATTAGAAGGGGCTAGTGGGTCGTTGGTGCGAGGGACATGGGGGAGGTAGTGTGAGGAAGAGATGAGAATTTGGTCAGTCGTGGACCCCACTGAAAAGGACGGCAGAAAACAAAAAAGGTGGAGTGTGTTGTTGAAGCTCTATGTTCCACTGAGAACGCAAGGGAATCATAATAATAACAATAATGCAGTTATCGTGATGTACAGGTTGCCATACACTCAGCCTTTACTTCAGATTATAATCCTAGTCCTAACGCTAGCCCTAAGTGCTAACTTGACGCCTTAAATCTAACTTCCTACCCTACATGTTGGACATTTGGATGTATGCTGACAATCCTGCAGGAGCCTACAGTTATTTACGTAGAAACATGTCTTCAACACTTTCGAGCACTTTGTTAGAGGTTTTGCGTGAATGTGTTGTTAGTTATTCAAACCGTCCTCTCTTCCCTTTATTGGTTATTTCATGGTCACCAATAAAATCATTTGCTCTGCTCAATATTTCTTTAACTTTCTAATATGATATACTTCTTGAACAATATGTTTCTCCCACTGGATCTGAACACAGTGTTTCGGGAATGTGGCATTCAATAAAAGAAAGGAGTAATTTTATCATTGTGCCATAGCTTTGCATTTCTCGCACTTCTTGTCCCACCTATAGAAATGTTTTCATGAAGCAATTGTGTATATATTATCTCACCCAGACTAACTGGTTGG